TTATCTTCGCATCATAAAACTGAAAATTTAATGTTAACGGCCTCTGTTCATATTGTTTTTGATATCGCTCTTGAGTTATTTTCAGCAGTACCTAAATCAACACTCGCTGCACATGATTCTTTCAATATTTCTAAAGAAATTTGATTTTGTTCCTCAATTTCTTCAATTTCATCCATGGTCGTTGTTAAAGCGAACTCGCGAACACAAAAAAAACTAACGTTGATATTGTTAATTTGTTCCATGACAACACGATGTTAGGATTTTTCTGTAGAATTACGAGGTTTTTTTAAGGATAACACAAGCACTACAGGAAAAATCCTTAAGGTGCTCTCAGAGCGGTGCCTGTCCTCAGAATCAAAATGTAATCTTTCAACGGGATTACGAAAAGTCTTGAACGACACGCAGCCGATACGCAAATAACGGATTCGGTTGTTCAACCTCATCCGTTATTTGCTACATATCGACGTTGTAACGTTAATTATTCTCGGTCTATCCGAAGTGTCTGTACCAAATATGAAATTGGTTAAACAAGTTTTCAAGTATATTTTTGCAAAGATCGTTCAACAATAAACCACCCCTTAGACGGCACTCAAATGAATCATATCTTAGTATTGTTCCACGGTCTATTCAATGCTGTCTATGCTGAACATGAACTTGACCAAACATTTTTAGGATACAAAAGGGATTATTGAAAATTTCGTTCGAATATAAACCATCCCTCAGACGGCTCCCAAATAAATCATGTTCTGGTTTGTTTTTCGGTTCATTTTTAAAGATATAAACAGTAGTTTTCAAAATATCATTGAAGTAAAATATGAGTAGAATTTTTGAAAATTTCGTTCCAAGTATATACTGTAATAATTGTACAACTCCAGTTCAGGCTGACTTTTTTTTCGATAGGGAACATTAACAAGTGATTAAAACATATATACGTTTTACCATTCCCATCATTAACTTCCTCGACAGATGACTTTGTCATCTTGGCAAGGTCTACTTCGGAAAGGGTAGCTTGCAATATCCTCCAAAGTATGTTGGACGTTGTTCACAGTTGGTGCCCGAGGGAGCAGATGTCTGTCAACCCCAGCAAAACTGCAATGACTCCCTTCGCCAGGAGAAGAAAATTGGATATTCTAACGCCACTTTTCCTCAATGGTAAGGTCATTCCATTTGGAACGGACGTGAAATATCTTGGCATTGTCCTTGATAAAACACTCACCTGGAAACGCTCACTTGGAAAAATTTTTACACAAAGCCAGACTGCCCCTATGAACATGTCGAAGGAGTTGTAGTAAAACTTGTGGTTTAGATCCCAAACAAATCCATTGGATCTATGTGATGATTGTCAGACCATTGATCACTTATGGTGCAATTGCCTGGTGACCGAAGGCTTTACAGAAAGCGGCCCAGGCTAAGCTCTCTACCTTACAGAGACAGGCTTGTCTGGCCATCAGTACCACACCGTCAGCGGCCATGGAAATCCTTCTAGATCTACCTCCTCTACATATTTTTTTAGAGAGAAAGGCTAGATGAACTGCATATAGACTTGTGCACATTGCCAATTGCACAAATAAATTTAATGCAGAGTGCAACAGACTGTTGGTTGACACTGGAAGTCACAGCATTCTGGAAATGACATCTGATTGTATGCCTCCAACTGTCAACACGAACTGCCTTATAAAGTACTGTTCCCGAGTAGAGAGGACTGGATCCTCCGGGAGAAGAAAATATTAAGAGCAGATGGTTGTTGGTTCACAGATGGATCAAAAACACCTTCCGGTTCCGGTGCAGGTATTTTCTGTCGCATACCCAGGGCAGATATCAACCTGCCTAGGAACCTATGCGACTGTATTTCAAGCGGAAATTCACGATATAGAATTGTGTGCAAAGAGATTGGAAGAATCCAACCTCATACACAAGTCAATAAAAATATTCTCGGACAGTCAAGCGGCGTTGGAAGCTCTTGGCTCCTACCGAGCAACGTCTAAATTGGTAGTAAATTGTCAATAACGACTCTCCTCGATAGGAAGACTTAACAGATTGTCTCTGGTCTGGATTCCTGGCCATACTGGCCTGGAAGACAATGAGGCTGCTGACTCCCTTTCTGCAAGCAGCTTCATCGGACCAGAACCTGTCATTGGCATCGCTTTAGGCTTTGCCAAACAAAGATTGAACACCTGGATGGCCAGAAGATTTATGGACTTCTGGCAAAATCTTCCAGAATTAGCTTACTCCAAGGCATTTATTAACCATTCGAAATTTGATACCAAACTGTTGGACTACAGTAGGGATGAACTACGATGTCTAACAGGCCTTCTTACAGGGCACTGTCATTTGAATCATCACATGCAGAGACTCGGGCTGTCGGAAAACAGTGTGTGTCGCCTCTGTTTGGAAAATGATGAAACAGCAGAGCATATACTTTGTGCCTGCCATGCTGGGGACCGAATAGAGTTTTTATAGTTCGGCAGAGCCGTACTCTTACCATCTGACCAGAAAGACCACTCACAATACAAACTGATCGGCTTCGTTAAGAAGCCGATTAGTTTGTATGGTGTTGAGTGTGAATAGGTGTGAGCCACAATAAACCCTTGCTGGTTGCGGTGGAGAGTCGAATAGACCTACTTATTTTGAACCTAACCTAACATCATTAACGTCTGTTTCAAGAGTTTCACCATTTCCAACATTACTATTCATATTTTGTTGCAAACTTACTATTTCTTCATTTTCCTTTGAATCATTGTTGAAAACCTTAATAAACTTTTATTTCTATAAGCGTTCACCATTTCTGCATGGTATGATCTAGGTTTCTCAACATTTTTTATACAATTGTGGCGTTGTTCTAAACCCTAATCAGACAATTGGATTTTTACTGAAACTTTTATCACCGTTTCGAAATTATGTGTTCTTATTATGACAGATTATTCCTGTGCCTTTGACACGATTAATACTGAGATATTATTATCAATCATACATAACCTTGGATTCGTACTCAACAACAAATCGTTAACAAGTGAAAATTGATGATGAACTTTCAGATACAACAAGGTGTACCACAAGATAGCATTCTTGGCCCTCTTTTATATACAATGTATACATCGAACTTTCATCATGATTTTTTCCACATCAATTATCATTTATATTCCGATGGCACTCATGTGTATTTTCTTTCAATTTGAACGAAATTGAAGAAGCTTATGATATAATTAATGCAGATCTATCACGACTTGTGACATTTTCTAATCTGTGACATTTATGAATCTGTATCAATGATGATGTTAGTAATTTCAGTGATTATGTAAAAAATATTGGTTTGCATCTGGACTCAAAATTGCGATTTGATAAACATGTCACTTCAAAACTGAAATCGGCATACGCAGCTTCAAAATCATTATATCCTCATCGAAACGAAATGATCTCAAAAAAAAAGTTTGTGGCATGGTTCATGGTCCTTTTCTTCGGAAGTCTGATGCATTTCGTATCCAAAAAGTACAAAATGCATGTCTACAGTCTTAAAAGAAGAGATAGGATTTCAGATAAGCTTAAAGAAATAGGATGGTTAGATATGTTTAATCGTCGTTTATTACATTCACGTGTTTCTTTCCCATACAAGTATATCGCGAGGTATATCGTCTATATAAATTTCCTTTACAGAAGTCTTGAAAACTACAACTGTGCAAAGATCTGAACTCTGAGGATGTAGATTGAATTATTTTGTTACTGATAAGAGCTAAACTTTTTTTATTTTTCATTCTTTCCGTTTCGAAATTGGTACAAACAAATGCTTTGTTTGTGATATACGTAGTGCTTCTATTTCAGATTATAATTATTATTGCAAACATTTTTCAGAAAAAAAAATTTCTTAAAAGTTTGTTATTGGATAGAAACGCATTAATTAACTATTTATTTTTTCCAGTAAATATCAATATTGTGGAATATTTTTTTTAATCATTTAGTTTATTTACCTGAAACACCTTAATTTAACGGCTCTGATTTGCTAATCACGAGACGTAAAGTACCTAAATTCTCATTACAATTAGATACATACACCCCAGAAAAAACATTTTTTGGCTTTTTACCAGGAGAAAAAAAATTGAAATCAACTCCCGAAATTCGTGTTTTTGTTTTTCTATTTTTTTTAGAAGAAAGGCAAATTATATTCTCAAGATTTACAAAGTAGGTACTGAAATATTTAGTAGGTTTTTGAAAATTCAAAAATAAAACAGTCGAATTGAGAAACATTCGTAACGAAGAATCGATTTCTTATCTAACTTTGTTACAGTACCGGGTCTGATAAATTTACTAGTTAATGCCATATAAAATCTCTCACATAAAAATGATTAGACAAAAAAATTATTCCACGCCGTCCATGCCATACAAACAAACTGCCGACGTTCGGTAACTATTTATAATATACTATAGTTCACTATAGGAAAATATCGCCGAAGGTATTTGATAAATTACTTACATGCCAAAGCATATGATAAATGAAAAATACTGTATTTGTTCTCTTAATAATAATAATAGGTCTTTATTCCCAGAATGATACAATAAATAAATGGGAACATTTACTGAAACGGGAAAGGCTGAAGATCAGTTGGTTGCATCGAAAGATGCAACCTCTGTTTTTCATCTTAGGGTTCATTCGAAGCAGAATCATATTCAACTGTGAAATTAAATTTCACATTTATTTCTTTACAGATGCAGCTCCTGACGATAGAGAAGAATTGTTTGTTCAAAAAATCAGACAGTGTTGTGTCCTTTTTGATTTCGCGACAGATCCTTTATCCGATCTCAAAGGAAAGGAAATCAAAAGGGCTGCCCTCCAAGAAATGGTCGAATATGTTACACAGCAGAAAGGCGCAATCACCGAGACTATATATTGTGAGGCTGTAAATATGGTGAGTCCTAATTTTATTTTATTTTTCATTTATTGACAGTATATATTGTACAATATATTATACAATTTTGGGAAAGAAGGAGTTGGGCTTTCTACTTCTCCATCTTAATACAAAGAAAGACAGGAATCAATCAATTTAAAAAAAGCAATTCTATATACAAAGATGTGTAGATTATGCAAAGATTTTCAGACACAAACGCTGAAATATACGAAAACCACTTTTCTCTATTCCGTTTGTATTCTAAACATTCGTAATGGAATCGAATCAGATATTATTCACAGGATTCCTACACAATATAATTAATGAAAGGAGTAAATTTCACTTACATTCAATAAAAATATTTGTCATCGCTTTTTAACTTACACACTAACTAAAATTTATAATATTCTACCCCTAAGGATAAAACGTATTGAAAATTATAAAACCTTCTCAATAGAATCAAAAAAATATATCTTCAAAAATTATTTTGAACATCAAAATATTAGAACATCACTAGATAAACTGCCACTAAATTGTTTCCTAACTTTTTGTTCACAACTGAACTATGGATGTTAAATAAGTAGATGTTTAAAATGTTCACCGCGAACGTCTTGGCAATCTCAAATCTAATCTCAAATAAAACTGTCTTCTAANTAAATTTAATATTCTAATTATTTTATAGATCTGTAGATTGTAACACAATCCTAAATAAAAAACCATTTCAAATATAAATTGTCCACAAATTATTACAATTATCTTCGCATCATACAGAATACATCATTGGAAAATTTATATTAATACCCCCAGTTCGCCGCCTATTAATACTATATTTAACGCAATATGATAAACAGCGTCGGCCGCCTCTTTTGAAGTTCTTTGGTGCAAGTTACCATTTTAATGGTTAATTAGCGGCGTCCTCAAGGGGCATAGCGGGTACAAATATCTCAGTGACTTTGAGGATGAATTGCTTGAGACGACTATGTTGCTTTCTTTGATGTACCAGCATGTTTGCGTTTTTGAAGTTCTTTCGCTACCAGTTGATACCGAATGGACTATAATTGAACTCACTCATGTTTAAAAGCGCTCCTATAATAATATTACTTGATTTCAATACGTTACAGTAAATATATATTTCATAAATCAAACTGAAATTGCATCAGATGTATTGGGTAGTTCGAATGTTGAAATTTCAACATGTAAACTAATTCAAAAACTCAATGTTTGTTACATATTTTACATTCCGTTCCTAATGTCATCGTTTTTTTTTTTTAATTTCAGTTTGCTGTGAATCTTTTTCGAACGTTGCCGCCCTCCTCCAACCCTAATGGAGCCGAATTTGACCCAGAAGAAGATGAGCCCACCCTAGAAGCTGCCTGGTCGCACCTCCAGCTAGTCTACGAGTTATTCCTCAGAGTATTAGAAGCACCAGATTTCCAGCCCAATGTCGCTAAAAGATATATAGACCAAAAATTCGTGTTGCAGCTGTTGGATTTGTTCGATTCGGAAGATCCTCGAGAAAGAGATCTACTGAAGACAACTCTTCATAGAATTTATGGCAAATTTTTGGGTCTGAGAGCTTTTATTCGTAAACAAATAAACAATGTATTTTATAGGTTTATATATGAGACTGAACACCACAACGGTATAGCAGAGCTTTTAGAAATCCTGGGATCCATTATCAACGGGTTTGCTTTGCCCTTGAAGGAAGAGCACAAGGTGAGCTAATTTTCAGCAGATCTAATTGTGTGACATTTGTGTTCCACTAGTAAAACACAAACTCTCTTTTTACAATCAGTGTCAAAACAAGCAACTCTGGCGATACTTTGTGAGATTTTCACTGAACAGATTACAATCGAGTATCGAGCTGTCATTAAATATTAGTTTTTTTGAAAGGCAAGACACGTAGGCAAATCAAAGATGTTGGATTCTGTACATGGGGACTCTGCACCATCATTTACCACAGTGAAATTTCGGGCAACTGAATTCAAACGTGGCCGTAAGAGCTTGGGAGGCGATAAACATTCGGGACGTCCGAAAACATCGCCAATGTTCACCAAATGGTGCTAGATACCCGTCGAATTAAAGTGGGAGAGATAGCAGAGATTATGAACATCATTTATGCACGAGAAAGCTGTCCGCGCGATGGGTGCCGCGTTTGCTCACACAGCAAAAACGTGTTATAATGAACATTTCCAACGCTCTGTTGGCGTAGTTTAGGCGCAATAAATTCGAGTTTTTGTGCCGATTAATTATTGTTAATAATTATCTTCAAAAAGGAAAAACTATTACAGGAATGTACTACGCATCATTACTTGACAAGCTGAAGCCATAACTTACGGAAAAACAGCCACATTTTTTGGAAAATAAAAATCTTGTTTCATGAGTTTGTGAGAAACTGTAAAGACTTATAAAACAGATATAAACTAATTTATCTTAAAGATACAAATATTTGAATAAATTAAAACCTAGTAATCACTTATAAATGATGTCTGTAATATCTCACTTATAGTTGTAAAATTATGAAAATTTTTGATAACTATCACTGGTATCCTAACCACCACTACTATCATAACATTGTCATAAAAAATTGTGGCATCCAATATGGTTACGATGATGTACACATCAAATCAGAAACTAGATTCTTAAAAGTTTATCTTCTGTCTTCCTCTATGATTATCAGTGGTAAGTGATTGTATAAATTGGTAGTAATCTAGACTATCTAGAGTAAACCTCTTTCTGCATTTGTTAATCTATGCTAAATTAATCTCCAATTGTGCTTAGTAAAATGGTTGTTAATGATTTTTGTTTATTGTCATACATGTAAATAATACTAAAATCAATGAACTACTCAGAGAAATAACGCCCTAAGCAATCCAAAGTTGATATCTAAATGAAAATAAAAAAACGTGTATTTTTCAAAATTTGTATTTCAACTTTATGTAACATTTTCAATAAACTTTAATTATAGCCCAAATGAATGAAGTGAAAGCTTATGTTCTACACCAACACCGGAAATAAAATTAATGAATCTCTTTACATTCTAGTCGAATACAAAGCTCATATACGCTCATAAGTACAACTTGAGTATATCCTGAAATTTATAGTACCTACCCGGATCATCAGATGGCGATAGTAGTACGATGTAGGTATCTGCCATCTCCCTCTGATAATTAGGGTAGGTACTATAAATTTCAGGATGAACTCAAGTCGTATTTATGATTTTCGATGGGCTTTGTATTCTTTGTTCTAGTTGATAATACCGAAGTAAGTCAAATTGAAGTCTCCAAACAAAAAACAAGGGTAGTTTACAAAATTTTCTGAATGTTAAAAAAAATATCTTATATTCTGAATTAGGTGAACGGTATGATAATCTATCTATCTATCTACTAATTACTTCAATTACTTTTGAGCCGTTGAAAGCACTTTTCCCACAATAGTGGTGTGGTGAGGTATTTTTTAGATTAATTTTATGGCAGAGGTTCCGATTCTACCTATTAACTTTTAAGTTCATGAAAATTACATGTATCTACTGTTTCTGAACAACAGATTACTATCTTTACTTCCAAAAGCTTTTCCAGAAATGTTATTGAAATGAAAATTGAAAGTCAAATTCTCCATTTCAAGTAGAAATTGTGTACTGAACTATGAACATTTGTATTTCAGGTATTTCTCTTGAGAGTTTTAATGCCCTTACACAAGGTGAAGAGCTTATCAGTATACCATCCCCAATTGGCCTATTGCGTAGTCCAATTTCTAGAGAAAGATCCGTCTCTTACACAACCAGTCATGAGGAGCTTACTAAAGTATTGGCCAAAAACGCACAGTCCCAAAGAGGTCATGTTCCTGAATGAACTAGAAGAAATCTTAGATGTGATCGAACCGGCTGAATTCCAGAAAGTTATGCTCCCTCTGTTCAGACAGTTGGCTAAATGTGTGAGTTCGCCTCATTTTCAAGTAGCCGAAAGGGCCTTGTACTATTGGAATAACGAGTATGTGATGTCATTGGTATCGGAGAATGCTGCTGAGATTCTGCCCATTATGTTTCCGAGCCTGTACAGAAATTCAAAGAGCCATTGGAATAAAACTATACATGGCCTCATTTATAATGCTTTGAAGTTGTTCATGGAGATGAATCAAAAGTTATTTGATGAGTGCACGCAACAGTATCGACAAGAAAGACAAAAGTAAGTAGAATTGTATATTGAACGTAGTTGACTGAGAGTAAAACCAAAAATCTTGAGAAGTGTATTAATCTGTGGATAGTATGGTTCCCTTTTTATGGAAAATAAAATATTCTTGTGGGTTTTTTTACATACAGTACTACTGGCGATCTGGTATAGATATATTCGTTGTGGTACTTGCTGTTAATTTACCATTTGTAGTTGTACTCTTGAATATAGGTTGTATTTCCATTGTTATATTCTTTCTATTTCCTGTTAGAAATTGCTGTCATATATTCAAATAGTTTTGGTTTATGCGATCTAATTCTACACTATTCTGCTTTTTTGCTTTCTCATACCATCACTGTATGTTTTACATATGTGACGCCAGTTTTTGGTTCTTCATCTGTATCATGCCTCAGGATACCTTACTGCTCATTTTATTTGTTTTTTGTGTACTCTTGAGTACTACTAACATTGTTTTGCATTACCAAGAGAAAAATGTGTGACTCAAAAATTTTATCAGACCTCGATAGTAAAAAGATTACCAATAGTTTGTATGACTTCAGACTTCAGGAGTATTAACCCTACTGAAAATTTTTTGTTGTTCTGTTGAAAAGATTGCACTTTTATGCAACAAAATAATAATGGTAATAAATAACACAAACAAAATATAATTCCAAACTAATTCATATGTGAACCTCTTCATTTTTCCTAGTACCAACTCAGCACTTGTTCTGAATGGAAATATTCATGAGTTAAATGCCTGAAATACACTGCTCAACAGTGAAAGTCGACCAGACAACCTGGATCAATATAAACACACTTTACGTAATTTACCTATGCCAGATACAGGTAATAGCACACCAACCTACTTGAAGAGTCAATAAAAATACTTGTTACGCAGCCATAATATCCAGTCATCGGAGATGTTAACTCGGGATGTATAAACCTATGAGGAAGCTAGCTACTCCTGCCAGCGAAACGTCAGGAAGAAATTCCAAAAATCCACGGCCTTAAAACCCAGAAAATAGTGACACTCCTACAATTTTTTTAGATATTAGAGTACTAAGAAAAAAACATGTGAAACCTATTGGTTATTATATGTTAATTTCAGTAATTTTAAAGTTGTTTTTCAATAACCCATCTGAATTATAATTCCCGAGTTGATAGCAGAAACTACAGGTAAACACATCTCAAGTCTCAAAATGGTGATGCCTTCAGCTCGAGCTATTGTATCCACCACATGCTAGCGATATCCGTCACGATGCTGTTTAATGACACTCATAAGCTCGGCCTGAACCATTTCATCCGAAAATAGAATTCCTTTTTGTCCTAACCAACTCTGCATGTCTGCTTTTCTGGTGGTCATAGTTGGCAGCTGTTCTACTAATCGGCTGTAATAAGAAGCATTATCCATTACTATTACTGAATTTGGCTCGACTCGTGAAAGAAGGGATTCAAACCATCCTTCAAAGCATTGGGCGTCCATGTCTTCGTGATAATCCCCCGTTTTTTTATAAAAAAATTAGTGCACTATCGTCTAAAAAGCCACTCTCGCTACCTATATGGGCGACAATTAGTCGTTGCCCTTTACCCGTTAGTCTGCGTAACCCTGTTGATAAACAGTTCACAAATGCTTGACGATAACTAGTTACAGTGGTATCTTGCCAGATCTTAGATACTNCGATGCATAGACAATAAAAATGACCCCGGTAAGAATTTAGTTCTAACATTTAACATTGTTGCCGTTAGCTCTCAGTTCAATTTGTATATGAGTTACCTTCAATTGAAAATTGTTATACTATAGTGAGTTATTAAGGGCAGCTTTGATGTCAATAAAGACAGTCATTTATTTTGCATTAAATATTTTTTTATTTAAGGAAAGTAGCGTCTTCCCATGATACCCTTAAATTTTGTCAATTTTTTTTATGTCCTACTAGGTGGGAGTTCAATGTTGGCTGAGTTGCGACAAATTTTTTGAGTACTTTCAAAGCCTGAGTTTGTCCTGTTTGTAGCTGAGGGCGCAAAAGATCATACTTATTTCTTATGGAAAATTGCTTTTCGTGAATTTGTTTAAATTTTTAGTATTGCTACATTTTTCCCCCGTAGCTTGACCAATAATTGACTACACTGAATAATCAAAACTTAACTTTATTTCACTTTAAATACAAATAAAACTTCAACTATTATTTGAATGTCTATCGCCTTACTAAATCACTTCGCGTACCGCACTGTAACGTCCACTTGACTCTCGATATTCTCGTGGCTAGCCTTTAAAATCGTAATCGAATGTTGTAGAAATTTTGCCGAAGTTTTGTCGAAGTAGGTAGCATTATTCTCGCCGCTTCTCAAGTGGCGGGGAATTATCGTACATTCGCGCGTATGATGGTATGATGTAGATTTTTGATCAAAACTGTCTGTTGCCACAGACGTTGAAAATGGACAGATTTCGACTTATGACCCAGGAAATATATTTTTTCATATTTTCATGAATATTGACTCACAATTGGTCAACTCTTATGCTTAACTAGAATAGAAATTGGATGATTCCAGTGCAGAAATCAATTGAGGAACAATTATATTTTCATTTCATATACCTCCAACTCATGAAATGAATATACTATGCTCGATTCACTTGCTTTGTAATTTGAAAGTTTCAATTTTTATTTTTCATGATGATTTCCTACCACGTAGTAACAGCTACATCCATCAACCTTGTGAGTCTTACCATTTCTGATATAGCAATAGTGGAATCGGCTAAAAAACTACATATTGAGACAATGAAGGATTATTGTGTATGTGAAGTAAATGGACAAAATAATAAAAATGAAGCGACATGAATACTACTCTGAAAAACCTAACCTTTTGCTGAAAAAATGGTTGTGTTCTCAGCACATCTTCAGTTATATTCTTATGGGGTGGTGCATATTTCACTATATCAGAACATCAATACATTATAAACAGTCATATTTTCGTGAAGAATCAAAATCTGTTCACAAATTTAATTTTTTTTTTTCAGAGAAAGAGAGAGAGAACATCTCCGGCAAGAATTATGGAGCAAAGTTGAAATTTTGGCGTCTCGCAAACCAGAATATGAGATTGTCCATTCAAGAAATTGCAACATTAACGATATGATTACTAGCCCTGATCCCGACGATGAGATTTCTTTAGATAATTTAGATAAGGAGGCACTAGAGGTGAGGTATATTTTTTTGGGAGATACTTTTGAACTATCTTTATCTTCATTAATTTTCAGATTAAGAAGGCACGCAACTCTACAAAACCTCTGATACGTCGTAAATCTGAATTGCCTCAAGATCAGTACACCATGAGAGCACTCTCTGATCACAAAAGAGCAGACGAATTCCTAGTGACGCCACCTGATGTCAACAAGTGCTAGTCTCTTCTTACACCTAACGAGCTTAGTGCCAACATATTCACCACTACACCCTTATTTTTAGCAATCATAAGAAAATCGAGGTTTGGCTGCATGTATATTTATTTATTTCAAGTTAGGAACTGTCCTTCAGTTACAGAGGGGTTTTGTATATAGTTTTACAAACGGCAAAGGGTTTTTCATTATTGAAGAAAGTTGTGAACGGAATCGAATGTTGTATCTGATTGTGTATTGTTACGTTTTAAAGTATTTTTTGTCAATAAATATTTGAAGAGCAATTGATATTTCCATCAATGGTGATCTCGAAAAGTTCTTCATGATGCGAGGAGTTTTGTTAAATAATTGTTTGGATCCATATGGATACATTTGTGATGAAGAAAATTCAGAAGCAAAGTTTTGTAAAAACCAGGGGGTGAGTATCTGCGGAACCTCTTTCTATATATAATATCGAATAATAAATACTTTCCTGCTAAAATACTTCAGAAAATATTGTCAACGTAGTTCTCACTTCATTTTCTGGACATTTCTGAAGATTTTTCACCCTCCACTTCATATAGGAAAGGCAAACTTCTAGTTCAATATTTATATTGGAAACCGTATCAATTATACATAAAAAAAGGGAGAACTTTGGATCTCCTGCCACGTACCACACAAGGCGGTCAAATGAACTGAATCTACAAATTCCAAAATCATGTTTTGTTCAAAACTCGTTGATATATAATGGAATCAGAATGTACTATAAACTACACAATGAAATATATAAGAATTATGTTCTCAAGCAATAAACATATCAGTCTCCTTGATAAAAAAGAAATCTTAATTTCAGTAACTTTTTGTTTGAGCAATATGGGCAAGTCATATTTTTCACAAATTCAGGTTTTAATAGCCTATGAATGAAAAACTGTGTTTTTCTTGATAATACAAGTGGTTTGATTGAGAATAATCATCATCATATCTCAGAAAAGTTATCGATAAGTTAATTCCAACTCATTACTAAATTAATATTACTGGAGTTTTATTCCAACACCAAGCAGTTATTTTTAACACCTCGAAACGTGTTTCAATCACCAAGTGATCATCTTCAAGAGGAAGATTAAACTTCCTCTTGATTAATTAATGTTTCTCTTGAAGATGATCATTTGGTGATTGAAACACATGTCGGGATGTTAAAAATAATTCTTTGGTATTAGGATAAAACTCCAGTAATATTCATTACCACACCAAAGGTTCCAAACAGTGGATTATAAGTTCATTACTAAATGTTAGATAATAATTAAAAATATCTATGTTGACAAGTTATATACAATAAATGTTACTTCACTTTCTTTGACCTAACAACAAAGATGCAATTTTACATTTAAATAAAGGTAGTACAAAACGAGCCACCTGAATAAGTCATTTGATATTGAGATTGTAAAAAACTTGTGAAATACGTCAACTTTAGTTGACAGGTTATATGCAATAAATGTTACTTTACTCCTTTAACGTGTCGAGGTGTTGAAATAACGATTTGGTGTTGGGAAAAAATTCCAGTAATATTCATTACTACATCAAAGGTTCCAAACAGTGGATTACAATTTCATTACTAAATGTTAGATAATAATTAAAAATATCTATGTTGACAGGTTATATACAATAAATGTTACTTCACTTCTTTTGACCTAACAACAAAGATGCAATTTTACATTTAAACAAACGTAGTACAAAACGAGCCACCCGAATAAGTCATTTGATATTGAGATTGTAAAAAACTTGTGAAATACGTCAACTTTAGTTGACAGGTTATATGCAATAAATGTTACTTTACTCCTTTTGCCCTAACAACAAAGATGCAATTTTACAATTAAACAAAGGTAGTACAAAACAAGCCACCCGAATAAGTCATTTGATATTGAGATTGCAAAAAACTTGTGAAATAAGTCAACTATATTTTTCAGAGGGACACATTTCCACGTTGAATCAACCTCATGTCTGCTACCCCTTTCCCCTCAATAACCATATTAAGACTGTAACATTTTTGAAATTACAACGATAAGAAATATCAGAAAAATTTACGTTATTAAATTCAAATTCCTGTCGAAGAAGCACTTCAAATCATACAGAGGAAGCTATCCGAAGATGAGGACCTAGAAGATAGAAAAAACTTACCTATAGAAGAATAGAGGTAATCATGGAATTACTAGGATGCCGGGTACGAAACTGCTATTTCCAACTGAAGGATTAATTCTTTACGTTAGATGAGGGAGTTTCAATGGGATTGCCCCATTCACCAGTTATAGCCAACATATATATGGAGTAACTTGAAACTCTGGACATTGAAGAAGGCCCGAGTCTAGTTGAGATACCTTCATAGTATGGAACCATGGAAATACAGAACTTGACACCTTTCTGAAGCGCATCAACAGCGTAAAACCTGGAGAAGGAAGTCCACAACGAATTGCCACATATTGGTGAAGACGACCGGCACGTAGTGACAGTATCTGAATCACGAATCCAACCACCAACAATCTACCAAAAGAAGAATCATCAAGACTCTAGTGGGTTGTGTTTTCGGGCTCTGTAATACGAATGAAGGGCTCGAGAAGGAACTAGGCATCATCAAAAAAGATTTATTTTTTATGACAATAATAAATGAATATTACTGGAGTTTTTTTCCAAAACCAAACCGTTATTTTAACACCTCGACACGTATTTCGATCACCAAGTGATCTTGAAGATATTATTTGGTGATCGAAACACGGGTTGAGGTGTTAAAATAACGGTTTGGTGTTAGGAAAAAACTCCATTTATATCCATTACTACATCAAAGGTTCAAAAATGTGCATCACAAGTCAATAATAAATATTCCAATTTTTGTAGATATATTACTAGCATTATTGTATTCTAACTTGTAATGTTTTACTTTTTGAGTTGCATCACGGTTTGTTTTTTACTATTCACTCGGTTTGTTTCATGTACCATGTTTGCACCAATAGTTTCCATCTATTCATCAACCATTAGGGATAACAAATTGGCATTCAAATAGTTACACATAAAAATTTGTTTCATAATTTTTTTAGTGTTGAGAACTGAAAGTCACCCATTTGAAAGTTGTAGTAAACTAGAAGTTTGTCCTTTCCATACAATTATAAAGTTCTCAAATAATTGCGAAGATTTTGAAAAAAAAACACTTTTATTTCTATTATATTAAACTACATTTTTTATGACTACAGAGACATTCGTTTTTTAGAGTTAATTTACCTACCAATATCTTTTCAAGAAATAGTCTTTTTTCGGATTCAATGCTAGTAACAACAATTCTTTTTCAATTCTAGAAATTTATATTTCGATATGATTTTTTGGTTTTGATGAAGCAACGAGGAGTCTACATATTCAAAGAACGGCCATGCTTTTTCGAATTCCGTAAAATTTTTGTGAAAAAAGTGACTTACGAGTGCAGCAAAAAACTTGAAATACCACAACATATATAATAAATGTTCAGCATCGACTTTCAGTTGGTTTTTTAAACATGGGTGGCTGGAGTAATTTATTTGAATTTTTTAATTATATCTTCTTTGGAAACTATCAAAAGGTTCAAGTCTAAGATTGAGTGTTGGTGACAGTTTTAGAAATCATAGAGCATGAGGAGAATACCACCTCATTAGGGAAAAGAGTTTATATAATCGTAACAAATATTTCAACTAGTTTCCTGTAACTTGCTCTCAATTTGAAGTACTGTTGTTAATGATGGGGCCGATATTGGTACAGTTATTTAATATTACAGAACCCATATCTTCTATAGAAAGGCTGGGTGTAACTCTAGGGTAGACATGTTGAATCATTTCTTCTGTAATTTGTTGAAACTTTCTCACAGACTGCATTCATTCCATTTGTATTCTTCATAGTAAACAACACATAAAACAAACATAATGAAAGAAAATGACAGCTGACGGTAGACAACGAACTACTCACATGAAAATATGCCGTACAACTATGAATGCTCAATGCGATAGTTGCTCATTGTAAGGATATCAGTTTATATTTGTTTAGTATTGTAATTCAATAACTAGGATTAGGAAATTATTTTTATTTTTTGGAGTTCATGAAGGTGTATATATGGATTACTACATAGTTGATATTATGTGTCTATTAGACAGTATTTTTTTAATGTACAGCTTTGCTTTGTCAATGATTTTGGATATAACTATTATAAATATAATATCATATTATCAAAATTGTTTTTATCATTCATACATTTTCTCATTGTTTTGTGAAAACCTCAACAAATGCATAACATGAATATTCATAAAATAATGCTGAATAGCTTACTGACTGCAGGTAAGTATTATCAATATTTCTTAAAAATCTCTATACCGAAAGGTAGAACTGCCACAGAAAAAAAAACAAGTATCAAATTTTTCAAATCGTCTAAAGGAACAATTCGTTCAGGCCAGTCTCAACTCCCTACACTGTAAGTTAATGGACTGACACCTATCAAAAAAACAACTACTACCCTGGCTAATACCACGAAGGCTGTTAGATTATATCCTATAGGTGTCGGTGGAGAATTCTTCACTGAAGTTATTCCTGTATATGTTGTTGACGACACAACTGCTGCAATAGATTTTCTATTATTGGAACACACTTGCAGGCCGGTTTCGGGCTGTTTGGCCACTCGTCAGTGCCAGGTAGTGTCTATCATCAATGTAAAGTCGATGATTTCCGATAATTGAAAATCGAATTCCTTCAGAGTCTCATTCCTCGAACTAGGCTGAAGTGGACAACAAACAACGGATTTGTCATCAACCCATCTGCCTGTGAACGAGGTAACTAACCGCATATCCGAAATTTGTCCAATTCCTTGTATAAGGAAAGGAAACTTTTCACATATGGTTAGTGGGCATACTTGAAGACTGGCTATTAATAAAATCGTCTGAAGGAACAATTCGTTCAGGCCAGTCTTCTTTCCTTATATGAGGAATTGGACAAATTTCGGATATGTGGTTCATTACCTCGTTCAAAGTCAGATGGCGCGATGACAAAACTGCTGTTTGTTGTCCGCTTCAGCCTAGTTCGAGGAATGATACTCTGAAGGAATTCGATTTTCAATTATTGGAAAACATCACTTATGTTGATGAAAGATACTACCTTCCATTGACGAGTGGCCAAACAGCCCGAAACCTGTCTGCAAGTGTGTTCTAATAATTGAAAATCTACTGCGGCAGTTGTATCGCCAACAGCATATGCAGGAATAACTACCGTGAAGAATCCTGCACTGACACCTGTCGAAGATAATCCAACGCCCTTTGTGGTATCAGCCCGGGGAGTAGTTGTTTTCTGATAGGTGTCAGTTCATTAACCTATAGTGTAGGGAGTTGAGACGCCTGAACGAATTGTTTCTTTAGACGATTTGATTTATAGCCAGTCTTCAAGTATGCCCACTAACTATATGTGAAAAGTATCAAATCTCTGTTGAAAAATGTTATGACTATAAATAATATTTGGATCTCTTGAAAACTCTCAAATGAACTCAGGGTATAACATTTGATACCAAAGGTCATAGGTCACTCCATCTAAAATTGGGTTAGCCACTGACCTCCTTGGGAGCCTCATTTATCTTTGACATTCGTGAATTGATTCTTCTTTTCTTCCCATAGATGGCGTTTTCACAAGGGAAGATATTGTTGCTTACTACTAGTGGAAACGTATTGAAAGTACACTGGTAATCAGGTTCATATATTTTATGTTTTACTGACTTTTTGAGCGCGAATATTGAACTATGGTCTTCCTCTAGTAATATATCGAGTTGTCCTCTCTCCACCCGCACCAAAGAGTGCCTGCTTATCCTTTATATATAGGGTTTATATATACAGTAGAAAACGTATTCAAAAAGGACTTTATTGTGAGACTTTTCACTAAGTGTTTTTTGAATACGTCAGTTATGGATTTTCATCAAGTATCAGCCAATTCCATTATATATATACAGTGGAATCTCATTTTATAATCCGGCACTATTCAAAACTAGAACGTCCCGAATTATTGGAATGTTCGGATTACTGGATTATAAAGGAAAAAGTCATCATAAATGAAATAGTGTCTTGTGTTTCCGTTTAATTGACATTTTCAACTACACACTATTCTCACTTTAAACAACAGGTAAATACATTCGGGCAAAAGGCGGCATCCTCCGGATCTTTCACATCACATTCTCGCCATGTATCCTCTTGGCCACCCAACATGGCCGCATCAGAGATAGAGAAATGATTTCTGTCTCCCGGGTGAGTCAGGGTGCCAGTTCGATTTTTCACCATTTGCTCAGGTAAGTGATGGCGCAACTCACCAAAAACCCATTAAAATATTCTTATTATTTCAATATTTTTTCAAATCAAATCCTTTGATAATTTGCCCATATACTTGATTTGGGCATTTCAATTTTCTGATTCTCCTTTTTGAACGAACGAAAACAAAAATTTGATGAATTGATTTCAAACTGAAGACAGAGTTGGATATACAGGGTGTTTCTTAAACACATGCTAATATTTAAGGAGGTAATTCTTAGACCCATTTTAAGGAAAAAACGTCCTATGGACGTATGTCCTAAACGCCTTAACTTTTGAGATACAGGGTGGGAAAGTTTTCAAAAATAATCAGTTTTTTAATAATAACTGAGATAATTTTGTAGACATCTTTGGCATATTTGGTACATATGTTCCATGCCTCAAGGCGCATTTTCTGATGTACACAAATTTGTATTTTTTCAAACAGTGGCATCCCTACGGGTTTCGCATTGAATATTTTTGGGGAAAAAGTACTACGCCAATGCTTTCTTTTCAAAATAAAATCATTTTTAAAATCCTCATTTATTTTTGAGAAAATTTGATCTCCTGGTATTTCTTTGTCCGACGCATGATTTTCACTCAAAAAAATAAAAATCGACAGAAAGCAAATTAAGAAATTAGATCAATTCTAAAATGAATGAGAATC